TCGGCGCTGGGCAGCATCCTGGGCATCCCCGCCGAGAAGCCGCCCGCAGCGCTGGGCCAGCACCCGCCGCCCGTTGCCACCAGCAGGAGTGAGTGGTACCGGTCCCGCCCGCGATGGGTGATCCCGACCCTCGGGGTGGGGGGTAACAACGTTCAAACCCCTCCTTTCCCCCCACAGAGGAGCAGGAGCAGCTGCTGCAGGGTCGGCCCGACCAGCCGCGGAACCCCAAGGTCCTGCGAATCGCCATCATCGGGGCGCCCAACGCGGGGAAGTCCACGCTGTGTAATCGGCTCTTGGGCAGGAAGGTGAAGCTGGGGTGGAGCCGTGAGTCCAGGCCGGTAAACGGCTGGTTTCAGTAACGTATTCTGGCTGTTCAACGGGTTTGTTTTGTTGTAGGTTTTCCCCGTCTCCAAGAAAGTGCACACGACGCGATGCAAAGCCCGGGGTGTTGTCACCTACGAGGACACACAACTGGTAAACTGCCAGACCTGCCCCTGCCCCCCTCAGTGGGAAGTGTTGGCCAGAAAACGCGTGGTTTTCTCATTTATATGCCATGGAGTTGGTTCTTGCTGCACAAATACAAGGTTTAGCTTGGCCACAAGCTGCAGGCAAACTTACACCATGTCTTCCCTCTTTCTAGATCATTCTGGACACACCTGGCCTCACTAATGCCTTTAAAGTCAAAAGGTATCGTCACTGGTGGTGTGGGGAGAGCAGGGAGGGTCCTGTCCATTGAGGTTTGATAAACCCAGAGTGATTCCACTGTGCAGTTTGTAAAATAGGAGTGACAGGAGTGTGGGGTTTATCCTTATTTCGGTGTCCGAGTTCTTTATTGTTGCAGTTTCAGTCCCACACAGAGCCTGTGCTGTCCCTTGAGCCCTGTTGTGTTTGTTCTGCACGTGTGCATGTAACGAGGGGTGCCACAGCCCTCAAGGCAGCTTTGTGTCAGCTGGGATGGTGGAAAACACTGTTCTCCCTGTGCTTTGAGGGAGGGAATAACTGTGATCAAGTGTGTCTGGCTTACTCCTTTGCATGTGTCTTTCAGACATAAACTGGACGAAGCCATGCTGACAGACCCGTGGGACAGCATGAAACACGCGGATTTAGGTGGGTGCTCACCTCCTCTTGGGCCAAGCCAACCCTTGAATCTGCCACAGAAGTTCACAGCCCTATATAGCTGTGGTGTCTGGACGTTTACTGGGTGGCAAAGGCAGCCCCCGGAGCATGAAATAGGAGGGAAGGGTAGTGGAAAGACTTAATACTGAGCTCAGGAGGGGATAAGCATTGCCTGGTGTCAAGGGGGAGCAGCCTGGGTTGATAATTGGGCTTGGATGTTAACTTTTAGCACGTGTGATGTTGTTTGAATGACAGATATAAACTGTGCTTTATAGTTTTTATCAATTAAAATTCTCCTTTTTGGATCCGTTAGTGTTCTGTAGAAGAGGGACAAGCAGCAGCAGGAGGGCAGCATAAACTGGAGAGAACCTGTTGGAAAATGCAGGTTCATCATGTTTCCCTCCCTCTTTCCTGGCAGTTGTGGTTTTGGTGGATGTGTCTGATCACTGGACGCGAAACTCCCTGAGCAAGGAGGTGCTGAAGTGTCTGTCTGACTTTCCCCAGGTCCCCAGTGTCCTGGTTCTGAACAAGGTAAATGAGAATCTTCTTCCTTCTGCCTTCTACAGTGGGTTATGCTGGTCCTTCAGACAGCACCATCAGCAGTGTTGTGTGTTCAGGTCACTGGGTCCGGGTGTGTTTCTGTCCAGTTCTGTTGCAGAAGCCTTGTCCTGCAGCAGCTCCTTCCCCTTGGTGGTTGCTTCTGGCTTCTTTGGATCCCAGGCCCAGCTGCCTGCCTCATTTAGGACAAATTCCTGATGCTTCTCTCCCATGCTTTAGGTGGATCTGCTAAAGAAGAAGTTTATCCTGCTGGAACTAGTTAATGAGCTAACGGAGGGGATTGTAAATGGAAAGAAACTGGAAATGAGAGCTGCATTTGAACAGAATTCCAGTTCTCCAGCAAAGTCTCCTCTTCAGATCACTTGGGCATCTCCACCTGAGAACAGGACCCCTGAGTCAAGCCCAGGTCAAGCCCAGGGTGGCTCTTGCTTGGACAACAGTGGTGTGAAGGCTTCAGAGTCCAGCTTTGTCACAGAAAAACCACAAAGGCCAGCTCACGGTGGACCCAGAGATCTGAAAGACAGGAAAGGCTGGCCGTGCTTCCAGGAGATTTTCATGCTGGCAGCTCTCCATGGCGAGGAGGTGGATACACTCAAGGTAACTGCAGTCTGAACTGTTACCATTGGAGACTGGTGTGCTCATATCCTTGCGGGATTCCAGTACTTCCTGCT